TTTGAGTAATATTAGAGTTCTATATCGGCTAGGCATATTGATTAGTTGACAATTACTGTAGATATTAGTAACTTTAATTAATGCGACATCTTCTTACACTTGTTTTGATTTTACATCATGACAACCCTGTTTTATAGATTTTAATGAACCTGAAAACATGTGAAGATGCTATTCACTAATGTAACACTTGTTGATATGCATTTCACTAGTATAGTAGTAATCCTGAATATGAAGATCATTTTGTCTCATGGTATTTGAGCAACTATTTATGTTATAAATATTAGCATCTTTATTAGATACTGAATCATATTGTGGATATTTCTTGGCCAATTACAAGCATTCTCTAGGTTGTATTCAATGTTCGACACCATATAGGCTTTTGAAAATTCTGTTAAATTTTGCAGAATCTGGAATAATTGAATTTATCATTTTTACTATAATCGTTCCTGTCACGCTATTTGTATACTTATCGGTATAAATTTTAAAGCTCTTAGTTTATTGAATGTAGAATATGACTCTTAGCTACATTAATAAATGCTCAGCCTTCGTGCCCAGCTACAACTGTACTATTCAACATGAACTATTACAAGCTACCCCAGCATGCATACATTATTCTCAGCTTTGTATTGCTTCCACAAGCTGTAATCCTTCAGCTACCAAAGTTATTAAGTTTTATTTACATGTCTTCATTTAATTCAATATTTTGCAAATTTATGTTAAGATCTTCTATTACTAATGCATTACTCAATCTCATTAAGGCAATTTTTTTGTATTGTCTAGCTTCCTGCATTATATGTTAAGAATCAATTACTTCTACTTTATTAAACTCTTGATCCATGATATTATTTTTAAAACAATTAAATCTTAGAATAGTGTTTTTGACAATTCCATAAATAGTGATGGCATCAACAAAATGCCTCGTACCTTACCTGAATATTTGGTCTATAATAAATAGTTACCCGGAATTTCTAACAAAGATTATTATTGCCACAAGAAATTATCAATATTAATTTTGATTAGAGAGGTATTACAAAAACCTTCACATCTCTAAAAAACCATGTATGTTAAATCTGCGGGTGAGTGTGATTATTGTGAAAGCTTTTTCATTGCCTCTTTGTATCATTCTGAAAACTTAAAAATATTGCAGTTAATTGAAATGTTCAACCATTAAATGCATATGAGTTTAGAATAATTAATTGAAAAGTTAAATTGTGAATTAAATATGTGTAGACCAATATATATTTCATTAGCCTTATTCCTGCTTACACTTCTCTCATATAAGGTTGTTTACACATATGATATTATTGCAATGCATCACAAACGATCAACTTAAATATTTTTTGTCTTAATGGAAATTTTAATAGGAACTGCTTTGTAAATCTTCCTCTCTCCAGATTATGTAACTTTTAATTGCTGTGATGAACTCCTTAATAATATTTGTTTACGTTATTTAGAGCCATGA